TGAAACATCCTAACATCCCCATGACAACAAGACTCAAAATGATCAACACCATATTCATCCCAACACTCACCTATCAATGCCAAACATGGACCACGAACAAGACAGTAGAGCAAATGCTGTAATTACGACATGTGAAATGCGATGCCTTCGAAAAGCAGTAAACAAGACCAGACGAGACAAAATTAAAAACTCTGTAATCCGAGAAATGGTGGGCACAAATGATGTCATGCATCACATCCAACACCAAAGGATCAAATGGTTCGGACATCTCCTACGATTACCAACACACCATCCAGCATAACGTGCTTACATCCAAAAATTCGATGGCAACAAGGCCAGAGGGCGACCGAGAAAGACCTGGATATCCGGATAGATGGAGTCAGGGAAACATTAACCCCCCACGGCATCCCCTTGACCCAAGCTCTCCCGCTGGCGACATAGAGACGTCTCTTTCTTCCCGTGACATCCAAAAGGGTATACGCGGCGGATAAAAGTAAAAAAGTAAAAGAGAACTGCCAGATATCCACGAACACATGCATCATGTTTCCTGAGCTATTTCATAAAGCTGCACTGTGTTTTGAGAATTCTAAATGATTTTTGGGGGGAGGGGGGGGAGTAGAATAGAGAAAAGGATATATTTATAAGGTGTGAGAGTGGGATGCATGGGATATTTTATACACATGGGGTCTGGACTTCAGCAAGAAGACACTCATGAAGAAGCTGATGGACTGGTGGCGTTCCATGTCGCCAACAAATCGTCATTGGGACCAGGCGCAGTTCGGCCATAGAGCACGGTCGTGCAGCGCCACCCAATTTTTTTAAAATGTTCTATCACGAAAAGCATCCACAAACGTAAAATAAAAGTATTCAGAAACAAACACTAGCCAAATATTATTTCAAAACAAGGTTGTCGCTGGCGCCTTAATTGTCATTTCTGTGTCAAAAGCGCCGTAAAACATCTACTATGCCATGCCAAAGTCCACGCGCTTTAACGAAACGCAATAGGATATTCAACAGTGGTAATCTGACCTATAAATCGCTCTTTGGTATAACCCAAACGATGGCGACACTCGTGGAGAGTTTGGCGGTGCATTAATATTAATAAGACGGCACATCTCAAATGTGCACCCACAGTAGGTAGTCTAAAAATAAACACGATGGACTGCACACTATTCTATAGAATCTATGCAAAATTATGTGATCCCCGGAACAATTCATCGGAGTGCTCAAGTGAATTGTGATTGGTTCATTGTCTTGCCACTATTTTAAGTGACTCTGTGACCTTGAACCTGAGGGAGGTGAACTTGACACACTTAAGTCACCGCCCTGCGTCCTGTGAGTTGTGCCTTTGAATGGTTTCGTAGTGGAGTGGTGAAATGTATTACTTGAGTGTTCAGTTCCAATGCGGGAAGAAGAAACCGATGTTTAGCTAACGAACAGATTTAGTTCTAGAAATCAAAGCGACAGTCCATTTACTATGCCCTTGACTATCTTCATCCTGCTATAGCTTAATTGTGCACGCCAACTTTTTAGCCCCACGAGCCGCCCCTGATTGGGACAGAGGAACATCAGGGTTATTTCTGATGACACTAATGTTCTTGTCATGGCCCATCACCTCTACATGACGACCAAAGGAATGTCCCAAAATATGACCCTTTCCATTGAGTCGTGCATATCCACACAAAATGTCATAAGTGTCATCGACGTTATCAGACAACATACAATCATAATGCCTAATCTGCTGGCAGCTGGTTGTGACACGGTTTCTTCCTTTTCTGGAATAGGAAAGATGACATTCTTCAAGAGGCTTGAAGTATTCTCCGATGAACTGAAGCTTGGGAAGATATATGTACCTTTTCAGTAAATCTTTGAGCCATGCCTCAGTTCACTAAACTGCTTAATAGGGATGCGTCAGGGGCCAATTTGAACACAGTTCGAGCCAACATTTTGAGGGAGAGGATTGCTGGAAAGAGACAAATTCCACCGAAACTGAACAGCCTTCCTCCGGTGATGGCAAGTTTTCAAGCCCATATTGAACGAGCACTTTCAGGATGTACTGTGGCAAGCAGCAGGGGAGCCATCTCCTCCTGGGCTGGATCCTGTTGAGTATGGATGGCAGTTACACCAGTCAACATTCCGCCCTGCCCTTGGACTTGATGCCCGGCTGCCAGTTCCTTATGAAGTTCTCAATCCAGTCAGTTGCAGTTGTAAAACTGAATGCAGCACAGCACAGTGTACCTGCACCAAAACGTCTGTCACTTATACAACATTTTGCAAATGCAGAGGAAGAATTACCAGTAATAATCCATTGGCTGTCAGTGTCCCAGTGCCGACGATTGGAGGTACAACAACAAAAATAAATAACAAACTTGCAAACACAAAAAGGAAGGAGGAGAGACAAGGGTGATAGATGGGCCGTCAGGGGACCGAAAGAGCCGGATATTTCGACCTGTCCCCGTAGAATTATGCAAATTTAGAAGGTCAATTTATGCAACAACAAAAAAGCAAAATCATGCAAAAATTATGCAAGTTACCGTAACACCATTCACGACATGTTTTGCACTTTTTCAACACGAATTTTCATGATTTTCATGTTTTATGTACAGAAAAATTGAAAGCAAAACTTATCGGTATCAGGAATTTGTTGTGTATTTGGAAAAGAAAACAATACACATCAGTAAAAAAAATAATAAAAATTTAAAAAAATAAAAAATTTATTAATTATTATAATCTCTCTGTAACTTTCAGCTGTACATCTATATAATATCTAGATCTATAGAGGAAAGAAAGATGTTTTTCAAAAAAAATTTTTAAAGGACATCTGGACCTCTGATGCTGGCACATTACTTAAACCAGGGACACCTGTCAAACATGAAACATCAGTAGACATAAGAACAACAACTTTTGATGGATTGAAAAATTGAACATGCTCAAGGAATAAAATACCAACCCATAACCAAGATCTTCTACCAAGGGAAATAACCAACTTTTCACTTAAATGAGACATATTATGGTGATAATCTCCCTTTAGTCACATTGGTGAGGCGTTAGTTAATTGTTTTGTGGAAAAGAGGAAAATAACGTGAAAAAACGCGGGGAATCCAAAATTATGCCAATGTTGCAGAATTACGCGAAAAAACGTGGCCGCGCCGCGGCCGCACAATCGCATAATCCTAGGGGGACAGTTCGACGGGCACTGCGGCGAAGTCAAAGCTGTCGCTGAGGCCTGCATATTAATTCCTAATTTTGGCTTCTTCAGCCATCTTGGCGATGCTGCCGGGAGCGGTGGCCGAGGAGGTGATAGACAACGATGAGAAAGAGTCGGAGCATGTGTTGTCCCTCATGAGGCATTTGTCACCCTCGAACGGAAAGATGGTGAAGCCATCCGGCCTTTTGCAGTCACCCTGGTCCAGGTAGGCGGGTTCTAGGATGCAATGCAGGCCCGCTGGATCGAGCGCACGCTTCACGATGTCAATTGGAAAGAAGGGGCAAACCCTAGACGGTCAGAGAACGGTTAGTAAGAACGTATAGGGCAAACCACGCCACAGAACCCGCCAACCACCCACGCAGTACAGTGGTGTCCGCTAACACTGTTATGGGGGCGTTGCTGTACTGTGCTATAACTATAACTGAAGTTTCTGGAGGAGGGGGGGGGGGTATCTAAAGTCCTTGAAAATCATAGTGACCGAGATCACCCCCTCCCCCCCCCCCCCCCCCAAAGGGAAAATTTTCACACACTGAAATGCTAGTCATATAGAGGGTGTGAACTGGGCTCTTGTACTTGTACACAGGTGTGGTCAAACATCGGCGATTGTGGTTCTCCATTCATTCCTTTGCTCGGATGCTCTTAAAAAAAGCTACATTTCCCTGATATTTCCCCATAACCCATTTGTTCAGATACCCCGAGAAGTTTGCTGTGGGCTTACACCCCTGCCTTGTTTGACTTCAATTTTGCTGGTGAGAGCTAGATGTTCAAGATCTTTACGTTTATTCAGGTATCCCAAAAACTGCATTTGACGTTCCCTGATTGTTTTTAACAGTGAACATCCTCGGTGTACTGTTTGTTTTAGCAAGGTTTTACGGTACTCGCAACTGCATAAGGTCATATGAGCGCCAAGAGGTGGATGTCAACAGAGCAGTTCAAACGCGGAATCAGGCTTACTCTGTTTACCTCTCTAGCCTCAACAGCACAAAGTCTGCTTCAATTATACTGTTTTTAAATCGCCAAAAACTGGTTTTCTCAGACAACAACGAATTTTGCAGTCAGGGAAAGATGTTGCTGTTAAAGTTAAAGGAATTTGTTTACATAGTAAAAAAATTCCAGTACACAAGTTAAGGAGGGGGAGGAGGAGGAGGAGGAGGAGGAGAAGGAGGAGGAGCAGGAGGGGGAGCAGGAGGAGATGGAGGAGGAGGAGGAGGAGGAGGAGGAAGTAGAAAAAGAAAAAGAAGGAGGAGACAGAAAAACAATACAAATTGTAATTCTTCTTCTTACCAGTTGAGCCTTCAAACACCTGTTCGTCAGCCTGTCTCGCTAGCCTTTTGTTGAGTACTAACTGACCGTTATTGAAACGAGTGTCTCGCTTTTTCCAACCACTTCATGATGACATTCTTCTGCACAGCAGAAATCCAAGGCATCAGAACTGAGTTTTTAGTTTTTACTTTTGGTAAGTGTTTCACGGCACTTGCGACACAATAAGGTCATATAAGTGCCGAAGAATAGATGTGTCACAGGACAGTAACATACACAAAAGAGAAGGAGGAGAGATAAGGACGATAGACGTTTGATAGGAAAAAAGGAGCAAACCACACCAAAGCACCCGCCAACCATCCATGAACGGAGTTGAACTTTGAAATTGAAAGCAGACGCATACACACAAACACACTCATTTATAAAGAAGAAACAATTTCACTGACAATGGATACAAACAGCATTGACAGATTTTTTTGCTACACAAAATAAAACTGACTTGCTCACATGAAAAATGAAACTTAAAATGGAATTCTCAGGCTTAACAAACTTGTTGTATTTTATTATTGCACATGATACATTGATCCCACTCAGTCTGCATGCAAATATAATATGCTAGAATGTTGCAAAATGTAAATCTAATTATATATTAGATCTATATAAAATATCCACAAGAACTCATTATCATTGTCTAGGCTAGGTCAGTATTTCCCGAATTGACTGGACAATGTTCGAGTCAAAAACATACTTTAAAAAATACTTTTTCATTTGATTTCATTCAAATCAATGAATTTAACAGATGTGCAGCCAGCTGTAGCAACCTTCCCCTGTGTTACAACTACACGTGCAGGCCTGTAAAGCGCCTATCACATAAAAATAAACTTGAGCCCTCCGAACTCACTTGACCTACTACATACATCCTGGTTCTCCACTCTGAGAGGGGCCACATTTGGGCTACCCCAACGTCACACCAAAAAGACGCTTTTTTTCACTTACTTTACGAACGAGAGGTTAAAATTTACTTTTACCCCGATCTGAATAAATGATCATGTAGGCCTACTTGGGACTTTACTATTTCATGTCTGAAACAAACAAAAAATCACCTGGCTCCAGTAATCAAATTTGTTCAGTGTGCACCAACTCGTGAACTGAGTCATGCAATGACAGTGTGACCATGTTTCATTAATGATAATGTCGGTGTCCTTCAGCAAGACATGTTACCACTAGATTTTAAAAATTTAGGTTATACTTTGTGTTCTGAATTGTATACACTTTACTGTATTTTGTAGAAGTTCATGTGTTCACATTTACAAGCCAAATTTCTGCACAGGCAATCTTTGCATATGTCCCATTTTTACTTTTACATCATTTACGAATACGAAAGACTCTGTACTTCAATTATATTATTGCACCAGTGTAGCAGAATTATTCCCAGAAAATTGATAGCATACGTTTTTGATTTACAAATTTAAAGAATGAAGGCCCTTTACTGCATTGTTTAACACAGCAATTAATTGAGACAAACTAAATACTAAACTAAAGATGTAAGTTGGGTGGAGTTTGTCATGGAACTGAAACACATTTGTGAGGCACTGTGGTGAAATCAGGCACTCGTCAAAATCATGAAATCAAAGAAACTGACATTTTTCTGGCCATTGGGCTTTTTTTTCTTCTTATTTTTTTTTTTTTTTTTTACTCAATACCTTTTACGTTCATTTAAAACACACATTCTCAATGGGTTTTTACAGAAAAACCTTGAACAAAGGCAAAAAATAATGAAAATTGCAGTTTCCACAGACACTCAAGCTTTGGATTTTGTCAAACTTTGGCAACCATTTTCTCGTTAAGTTTACTTCTGACACCAGGTAACCCCCATCTCTTCAATCACAAATATCTCAACTTAAATTCATGATAAGTAGGTAATTTTTTTTTCACCAAAAGCAATACGAATGAGAATTTTTTTAAATGATACCAATAATTCCAAATGCCCAAAAATTGACGAGCACCAGATTCCACCACATCGTGACACATTAATTTAAAAAACAAAATAAAACAGTTAACTTTAACAGAAGAGGAAAACCTGTAACATGTCTAACACAACAAATTAATAAATGTGTTTTATGCAGTATGTGACCTCAGTCTTGGATCCAAATGTCTAACACGTTGATCCTCTTTAGCTGCAACATACACATGTATTAGACATTGGAAAATCAAGTCACACACAAGCATATAATATAGTACAGTGAGTTTTAAAAATACAAATGTATTTAACTATTTTTACTTCTTTGAGTAGGCTACCTTTATAAAAATGTGAACATTTTGGAAAAATTGTTATTCTAAAAATTACAGTAAATAAAAACATGCTTTGAAAACTTCGACCAGTATGTTTGAAACAGGACCTCCGGCTATCACTAAAAAGCCATCAAGAGAAAAATGAAGCAAAGACAACAAAAAAAAAACCTCCAAAATGGAAAGATCTCTTTACATAAAAATTTTAGCTTCAAAAGTACTTTGAAATGAAAAAAGACCAGTTTATACCATTGAGTTTCTAATATTGCTGGAACCTGGTAAAGTTGATAGATAAATTTTTTTAATAAGGTGTGCAAGTGGTTTCAGACAACAACTTCTCAGACATAACTGAGCTAAAATTCACGCTACTGAACAGTCTGCCCCACCACTTAGTTCGAGTGAAGAGAAGCACGACAATGCAATCACGACTATGTGATTTAGTGCAGGGAAAAAGCTAGATAGAAGAACAGAAGGGATTGAGGGAAAGAAAAGAAGTATGATCTGTAAATGGTATACTCCAACAATCTACTTTGCTATCTCTGTACCTTCACATAATAAAATCAAAATATAAATATACATACATATTATCTAGTGTACCATTTACCCTTGAAAAGGCAATAATAAAAAAAACCCATACCAGTACTATAATCTTTTACCAAAAAAAATTTACTTGACCCTTACAACCCCAGTACCCTCACACACCACCTCAAAACCCAGCTGGGTTTTTTTTTACCATAATATATCCAATTGACTGAAAAATTGTCTTTATTACCATAATATCTAATTGACTTTGTAAAATTTTCTACATATGTTAACTTCTAAAACTTCAAATAAAAGCCGAATAGAGATTTACAAATGTTGCAAAAAATTGCACACTCTGTCAGTAGTGGAAGTGGTTGGGCCCAAGGAGTTAAGGCCTCCAATATTACCTGGGCCAGAGGGAGGTGAAGGATAAAAGTAGACCAGTAGTGTAAGGTTAATCAATCAGCTTAAAAAATGAATATGAAAATAGATACAACATGAATGTATGGGCATAATTACCAATGATAATAGTGTATGACTGACATTCGTCAGATTTATAGAATGTGGTACTAATCACTAAAAAACCAGTAAATTGTCTCCTTTGGTGACACATCACATAATGCTCTATACACAAAAGTACGCACTGACAGAAGTATGTCCACATTTATGTTTCTTTTTGTACATGCAAAGCCGCACTTTTTGCTCATGATGCTCAAACTCGAATGGATGACAAAAAGAGGATAATTTTTTTATGAGACATAATAAACTATTGTTTAAAAGAAATCTCAGAAAGGGGTTTTAAAAAACAAACCCAGAGATGCCAAATACTTGAACAGAGCATGTCACTAAAGCAGTAAGTAATCACTCATTCTTATTCAAGACATGAAAGATTTCAGCATGAATAAGAACGAAGCACTAACTAACAACAGCACTTCAAAAAGCCATGGTATTGACCATGAATGTGCACGATAAAAGCAAAGTGCGAGGTCTCTAAATCTCTCTTTAGGAAAATGAAAATGAAGAGAAAAAAAAACAAGTACCATCCTCGAGTATGTCTAAACTCAAACTCGGATCAAGGCAAAAATGCTCACAATACACAGACACAATACGTTATTTACACATACACTACAAATTGTCACCATCACTTTGTTAGACATAGTTATAGTAAGCCTACTAGTTTAGGCATATATATGTTCTTGCGCGCTCATATGACCTTAGCAGTTGCGAGCGCCATAAAACCTTATACTATACATACATACATATATGTTCTTTCATTTTATCTGAATCATAACAGCACTAATTAATTAACATCACAAATATATAATACAGCATGATGAATCTGCATTTCAATGTGCATCTATGCGCGCCAATTAAAACAAAATGAAAGGGTGGATCTAAGCTTAAGTCTGTCAAGGAGGAGAGGTGCACACAAAAAAAAAAAAAATTTCAAGTGAAAAGTGTAGATTTATAAATAATTTGATTGGTCACATTGTTTCATACAGCCAGGATCTCAGTGAACATCACAAACTAGCAAGACCAAATACAGGAGAGAGTGGGAGGATCAACTTTGGTAACTGAAAACATGTGACAGTAGAAAGCAATAGAGCTCTCACAAGTCCAGAAACAATACTACAAAGGTGTGTAGTAAAAATAAAAAAATTTGTCCAAAGAAGCAGCTGAACTAATGATGCATCCTAAAATCAAAACAAAGGCAATCCAACCCAATTCTAATAATTCTGAGCAGAACTACAAAAATATAACATCTGCATCTGACAAGCAAATTTCCACAATCAACAACGACCTGTATGTCTTAAGTCAAGCAATGTCTCTGTTATCTTATCTTCTCTTATCTTAAATATATAGGAATGTGTGGAGAGACTTCTTTAAAATCACAGAGAGCTTGTCTACTATCTGGTGCAGAAATAGTCATTTGCAAAATAATTTGACAGAAAAAAAATACATTTAATAAATAAATGAAACCAGAAATGTCACAAGTGAGAAGATATGAGATCACTAATTTTTAAAACAGATAACGAATGATTTTTACTGAAGTGACAGTTCTATTTTACATAGCTCCTTTCTTTTGAAACAAATTCAAGTACATAGTGAACTCCTAATTAATATCCAAACAGGTTAGTGCTAAAAACTTTAAAATCCCTCCAACCAACTTAGGCTTTGAAAAATTCAAGTCTAGGAGGCCTGGATTGTGTTGGGAGAATTATCAGCAAGCCCCTCTATTAGATGAATTAATAGAAAACAACTTCGAATAAACATGACAGAAAATTTGGTTGATGGAATAAGGAGAGGCAAAAATTAGAGCAGTTTTGTCTTTCGCGCTGAAACAAAGCACACTATTGTAACATAGGTGATGTAGCAATTGAACAAATTCAGAAAACATGATTATATCATGTTTATATCAGAATTTAAATTCAGCAAACATATTTACTTCATGTTTATATATTAGAATTTAAATTCAGAAAACATGTTTATATCAGATATTTAGGAAAGAAACAACCCCTTGAGACAAAACTGTTCTATCCATTCAGAGCTTCTATTTGAAAAGACAAAATGATTCACAAGAAGAAGGTAAGTGAACCATGATAAAAAAACAAAAACAAACCCACAATAAATAAATATTCAAAAGCATAACATCACAATAGGAAGAAAGAAAAAAAAAATAGATATAGCCTATATGACAAAAATTATTCCTTCATGTCAGAATACAAATCTTTAAATGCACAATATCATGAAACCAAGATCATCAAAGTACAGATGATTTCTGAGCCAATGCTGTGTGGATGATGAACACTTCTGGTGATGAAGAAAGTGCATATGATCATACTATCACTTCAAATAAACAATCATGAGCACCAAGTAGTATTAAAATTGTAAATTAAAATGTAGTATACATTGAAAAACCACAAGCTGCAATAATGATCCTTCAATTCTGTCGCACTGATAGGCTGCAAACAAAAACTTCTAGCTTCTAGACCTTATTGTACCATTCATATGACTCCTCATTTTCTCTCAGTAAAAGATAACCTGGTATCCTTGAACAAAACACCAAAGTAGAAAAATACAATTTAAATTTTCATTTACGCTAACTCGAGCCATCAGTATACTGCATTAAAAAGATTGTGAACAGAATTCTTGGAGAAAGAATCATGGATGAAACATGGGAGAGTATAATCCTTTAACTGATTCCATCCATTCACGGCTCTGAGTTTTTCCTCTGCCGCCATTCGACCGCTGTTAGCGGCTCAATGAAATCCGAGCGAAATCCGAAACAAATGTGCACTTTTTAACATAGTTCCTACTTTTCAAGTTGTTGAAAGGAAGTAGAACTGTAAACAAGCCTGCCCTCAATCTCTGAGAGCCAAAATCGATCGAAACTCAGCGAAATTCTAGCAAAAATCGTTGTTTTGTTCTCGCTATGTAAGAGTAAACAACACTGAACCTGGTATAATAAAAAGGCCCTTCAGTGAAAGATGTTCAACTAAATTTGTGAAAATCTTGCATAAATGTGTGCTTGGGTGATATCATTAATATTTTGTGTTGATTCCTATGGACTATTAGGACTTGTAGAGCTGAGAAAATGCAGTAAGTCGAAATTTTCAAAGAGGGGTTGTGCAATTTTTATTCCTCACTCGTAGTTTGTCTGAAGGAAAATACAACACAAACATAATATAGGTCATTGTTATTGATAAAAACAGATTCCTTTTTTGATTCCCATCAGTTTGGCATATGACAATACATATTAGAGTAGCTTAAAGCTTCACAGTAATGCAATAAACCGATGCACCCCAGGTCTAAAACTGAACGGGGAAAAATAATTCCGTACAGAGCCTGAAAAACTCATGGATGGAATCAGTTAAGAAAACCTTTTTGAAGTCTGTGCAGGGATCTAAATTGTGTGAAAAATCTTTAAAATATCCAGACTATTTATGTGCATGCCTTTACTCAAGATAAAGCGGCACACGATGATGTTTACGAAAAAAATCCCAATAGACATTGAATATTTTACTTTGACTTTTCCAGCCTCTGTTATCTTCATGTATGGAGGGGAGATGCAAACGTCTTTCTCTTGTTTGTTGTATCACCTGTTTCCTGGTTATGCTGAGAGACTTTTACATACAAAAAGTTTATGCTCAGCCATCACTGGAAATTAGGAGGCAATACTGGTACAATTACAACTAAATCAAATTAGAATTAAGAAGTAGGGGAAAATGTGGGGGCAGCTAGATGAAAAATGGGGGCCACAATCACAGCACAGTGAATCACAATAAAATGATAACAGAAATGTTGAGGTATGAAGTGAGAATGGGTGCAAAAAGGCCAGTACTATTTTTACCCAGTAGCAAAGACAAATATGACGACAGCATATATGTACATGAATTGTTTTCTACTATTGCTTTATAACATTTTAAGACAAGCAAATCTGATACTTATATGACAAACAGATTTTTGCGCAGTACTTCTTTCAAAGAACAACTGTCATTTCACAGCCAATACTAGTTCTTCACTACTCCTCTCTCTATTGGTCCAACAACAATAACATTAGGTCAAATATGAAGTTTGCTTACACAATGTTAGGGAAATAAGAGAGCAAGAAGTAATCACAACCCAACTGAATATTCAGTTTGCAAAATATCAAAATGAAAAAAAATGGCTTCACACTTCCAGTCAGTGTGATGATATTGGATTCTTTAAAATACAACAAAAAAATGAAAGCTATCCAGTAAAATTCTAAGACTAGACCTATACAAATTATAAGTAAAAAATTTGAGTGCAAATCCTTCCCACAAGGTATTGAAAGCATCCACAGCAGCATCTAATGACAGACAAGTTAGCTCAAAGATTTTTTAACAAAACATGCCTTGAATATCAAAACAGTACTTAAAAATTGTTGAGATGTATCAGTAGTCCACGAATGGTAAGGTTTGAAAATGCAGAGCCCTAGAAAAATCACTCAACTAGAAAGTCTCCGGGAGGACAATGTGCCAAAAAGAACTTGAAAGACATGTCATAATCAGAATAAACCAAATTCTCTAGAAACATGACATTGTAACTTTGTACTGATGATGTAAAAAGAGGGTGAGAAAGTTCCAGAGACAGTTCACACTCTCAACACAATCAGAAAAAAAAAATTACAAAGGGAAACAACAGAATGTTACAGAGGTCATGTCTCCTTCATCAATAAAACTGTCATTGTGCTGGGTACAGCAAACTTTTTATGGAAGGCTAAATGGATGATAACTTAAGATGAAACAGCTTTCACAATTCAGATCACAATACACCGAGTTAGGAGGTGATGGGGCTAAAGACACATCAAGGGTCCTCTGGGATTGACACAGGTACCACTTCGCTGGTGATCAGAGTTTCCTTCATCTCCACATCTTCCCCTCTCGCTCTTGTCATCATTGTGTCTCGGTCAGCCCTAATGAGCAATACAATATAGTTTGAATTATGCTTAGCTTTTTGGTTCATTTGTTGTTTTGTTAGTTTATTGTAGTGGAGGAGTGGGGGTGGTTTAGTGAAGGGAGTGCATTTCTTTCATGAATTTTAGAGCGTTGAGAAAATGAGTAGAAGGAAAAAAGAATGAAAAGTGGAATCAACTTGGGCATCTTCCCATATATTACAACAAGTAAGTGCATATTATACAGGTGTATGTGTATGTGTGTGTGTGTGTGTGTGTGTGTGTGTGTGTGTGTGTGTGTGTGTGTGTGTGTGTGTTTGTGCCTGCGTGTGTGTCTGCATGTGTCTGTGTGTGTCTGCGAGTGCATCGTGTATGTGTGTCATGTGTTTGTGTCGTGTGAAACAGAAGTTAATTTGTCCTGGTCAAGAAAACATCTCGGTTATTAAGTATCTCTATTTGTATGTGTGGTGGTAATCGGGCAAAATGAAAGTTAGAAGGATGAGACAAAAAGGAAAAAACTACATCCTATCAAAAGCACCCTATGAGAAAGGGATGTTGACATGAACAATAAATATAGCTTTACACAGAAAGAAATTTTTTCCACTTTATACAGTTGGAAACATCTAGTGAAGTTTGCCACAGATGAATTGAGGGGAAATAGAGAAACCATCAAAACAATGTATTTTTTATGTTCTTTCCAAGGTGGTCTTCAGACATAAAAAAAACTTATAAATATATCAAAAGCATCATTCTACCAAAGATCCAAAAAGCAGTTTACAATATTCATTGACAGCTATAATGGGGTTGAAATACTCTTTTTCCAAGTTTTTCCAACTTAATTTTTCAAGTTAACATTATTAAATAAAAAAGTCAAATGAAAAGATGTCCAAATTCAGAGTTCATTCCTGATAGAGTTAGCTTGACCCCCTCGCGGCCACTGCTGGTGTGCGGCCAGTTCTCACAATTCACATTCCAGCTGCTGTAAGGCTTTGAATATACCACTGCAGCTTCTCTTGGGTCTGCCAATTCGTTCACTTTCATTTCCGGACTTTCCCGCTGTTCCGACACACATGATGCGAGTTTGAACTTTTCAACCCAGAAAACATCCCTTTGTGAAATTTCAGGTGAGTTTTTCATTAGCTCTTACTACAACCTAAATATTATTATTTTGTCATCTAAATGTGGTTTCTGTGTTTTAAAATGCATGTTTTTAAGCCTAACATTGTATAAAAATCGCTCAAACGTAAACTTTCGGAGAAACGTCGATGGCCGCAGCCAGGGCAGGGTAATTTTTCATGTGAGCCCACATGCGGTCTAATCGGCCGCACCGAGGACGGGCTTTACAGTAGAGGTCCAAAATGATAGAAAGCCCTGGTCAAATGAAGGCTAAGGTCTTGAGATAGAATCTAGACCTTGTTCTTGATAGAGGTAGGCTGTTTGCAAAGCTTTTTGTCCACTTAATAAAGTTAGATCTAGGTCTACTGTTAACGAAACAATACGATATATTCGAGCATGGCACCGATCTCAGTCGCCTAGTGGTATGGCGTCCTCCTCGGAAATGGAAGATCGTGGGTTCAATTCCCGACCAGGTCATACCTAAGACTAAAAAAACTGGTAATCTAGATCTAGAAGCTGTCCCACCTGGCGTCGGCATTATGGGACGAGTGCTATGACGTTAATTTGCCTAAATGACCTACTGGTTTTAATTAGAGACGTTAAGGCCAACTCAAACAAAAACTCAAGTATGGCATGAAGTGAACACTAATCTATCCAAATAATATGTTTTCCCAGGTCTCAAAATGAGTGGGAAACCGAAGGGGACAAAAGAAGCTTTAGACAATGTGCAACAAGCAGTCAGTGAAGGGATGGGGAGATGCCAAGTCAATCTGAGACCGAAAGATTCCTTTGTTCTTCCTACTTTGCAACGCAGGAATAATGGCGGCAAGAGAAAGACATCCCTGGAAAACCTTCCATCGCTCATCAGTGGACAAGAATTCATTGACTCTTTTCTTTAATCAACAAGGAGAGAAAGATCAAAAGAAAAGCAGAGATGGAAATGAGAAAAGTGGACAGAGTAGAGCCAAAATGGAAGAGGAGAAATGGAAGATGGGAAAGGAAAGAGAAAAACAGCGAGAGGAGCTAAACAAGCAAAGTGGAGAAAGAAAATAGAAAGAAGATGCGAGAAGAGAGGAGACTAGCCAAGGAGAAGGGGACGGAGAATAAGAAGAAGCAAAAGAAAAAAAGTCCAAAGTGAAAGGAAACAAATCCAAGAAGAGGTTGAGCGATTCAGACTATGACACAAGTGTAGGTATCAATGAAAGTGAAATGATACTGTGTGATGAAGATGACCTGCAGTTGGAAGATTTCATGGAAGAAGAATGATCGACTGAGGAATCCATGTTTGCCGAAGTGGGGGTTGTGGAAGGACATGAAACTCCACAGAGACGACACATGGACAATGAAACGCTTGAATTTGATGAAGGATCAAGAGATGGACCACAGACGGAGAGAAATAGAAAGTGTTGCTGCTGACAATGAAGGCATAGGAAACAAAAGACAAGTGGTTGAAGCAGAAGAAACAGAAAGAGAAGATATGCTTGAGAGTGACAGAGATGGAAACACAAGACCAGTCGTTGGACTTGGAGTAGAAAGAGAATAATATGTTATGCATGAGATGAATGAAGAAGTGGAGGACTGCAACATGGTCGGAACTGGAAACGAAATGGCAGCATTGGCTGAAGCGGAAGGAAGGCCAGACACTGTGAATGAGGAGAGTGGGGATTCACTTGGTCAGCATGACGGTGGAGATCGTACCTTGAGGCCAGAGACGTGAGACTTGTCCGTTCTGCTCTTATCAAGAGTAGACGTAATCTAGATCTAGATCTACCATCCTTGCACTTTTTTGCATAGATCTACGCTGTCATTGATTTCCATTTTGTTTGCATGCTCTGATCAAAAGTAGATTGAATCTCATTTAAGTTGTATGTACCATTCTTTAATTTTGAACGTTCCCATTTGCATTCCGTGTCACTGATTTCCATTTCGTTTGCATGCTCTGATCAAGAGTCTGTTGAATCTCATTAAAGTTGAATGTAGGGGTACCATATTTCAAATTGCACCTTATGCGTTTGTTATTGATTCCCTTCCTTGTTTGTCATGTTTTCAAGTGTTTAGAGCTTGTTTAAGGCCTGGCCACATAACGGGCATGGATTCGGCCGCACTTAAGTCAGGTGGCCGCATCATTAGCTCGTTGTCGGCCGCACCCAGGGCTGCCGGCCGCCAAGTGGTACACCGAAGTTGTGCAGAAAACACTCACTGCACTCTATACTTGAAGTCTTTAAATTCGCGGCCAGGTCAGGGCCCTTCCTGCGGCTTTTTTCTCCTCGAAAATCAAGTTGGGAATCTCTTAGTGCAGAAGCAGTGCTAGCTAGGGGGGAATGTTCGCTCGTGGCCGCAAGTGGTCAAGTTACTCTACCTTTCCTTTCATCCGCCTCTCACTTACTTTTTCCCAAGGGCAAGCAATCCATATACAACACCAGAAGTCAAGAGTAAAGCGCATCCAAAGATGACGGTTAGGGAATGGCACAGCAGAAATGGCACGAAAGGTGGACTGAAATGGAAAGTGTACTGTCATTAAAATTGAAAGTGGGCACTGATAATATTCAGAGATCAAACAAACTAGACAGGAAGGAAATTCTACCATTCTGCTCTTATGTGCAATACTACAACAACAAAACTTTTAACACATTTGAGCCTATTCCCGTGCGTTTATGGGACGCCCAGCTGGCCCGGTGGCCTAATCCCGTGTATTTACATGAAATCGATAAAAATAAAAACTATTTGGACAAATTAGATGCAATTTTCTATTTCTTTGAGAGAAATTCTTTCTTTCTCTTGCTGCATTTTTAAAAATTATAATAGCTTTCACAGTCTGTTTGTGGTAAACACTTCAATATACCCCCAAAGTATCAGGCTGCAACGCTTGTTGGGTGCAAAATAGCTCAGGCTCAAGTGAGTTAAACAATATAGAATTTATTTTCCCATTGTAAAAGTCCATCCAAAAAAGAGCCATGCCAGGTAGCATGAGAGCTTACTCACAAAATGTAACCTGAACCCAAGAATTCACACAGATTGGTATGGTGTGGGTCTAAAACTGTAACGTTACTAAAAATCTATTTTCAATAAGACCACAGGAAGTAGGCAGGGAGCCTTGAAACCAGAACCCCCCCCCCCCCAAACAAAAGAAGTTTAAAATTCCACATTAGGCATTCAAAACACCATTATCTGCAGTCATGGCCAAGTAAAATACCAACTGAGCTAATGGCACACCTTGACTAAACAGAATCCTCAGTCTAATATAAATCTTTTGATAATGCATTATATTCTTTTCAAAGTACGTCCATCCAATTCAAGCAAGAATCATTTCAGATATGTAGCAATAACATCAAATAGATATCATAATCGTACATGGCGTATGCACCAGCCTTCTGCCAGTAGCTTCTCCTCTCGCTAAAACGCGTGATGGGTTGTATAAAGTCCAGGAACTGGCAACAACAGGGTGCTTCAAGAACTATGATGGCAAAGCCAAACATCCTGCAAAAGAAAAAGAAAATTCAGAGAAAGAAAAATCAGAAGCACCTAATTTGTGTGGGAGAAAGGACTTTTGAGTAACGAGGCAAGAAGTAGCTTGTCTCTAGTCTTATCTCAAAATGACTGATTCGCCTGCCTTTTCATTAGCCATGATTGGGAATAAACTCTCAGGTTTTTCACATCTCCGATCTCAAGGTAAGAAGGACTGAACATATGATGTCAAACAAGAAAGAAAAAAATTACAAGCACACATCTTAATCAAAGAGAATACAAAAGCCCTCAAAAATTCATATTATGTAGAGAGGAATACAAGCAAGATGACTGAAAGAACTGGAATTACCCCATCATGAGCTATATGACAAGTGATGTTCGTCATTTTTACTTATGTTGTGAAGGAGGCAAGATGCTGTTGTAACACTGTTTATCATATTCAGCATGCTGTTTCTTATAATAAAACATGTTTTGTCAAACTAATTGAAGATTCATTTCTGCAATACTCTTTTCCGTACGAGGAAATCTTTTGCTTTTAGACAGTTCGTTGTACTTTAACAAACTAGATCTAATTATAGAGAATCGACCACTAAATTTAGAGCTATTCTTCTTCCCTGCGGATCCAAAACTGAGATTTGTCAAGCACAAATTGACCTGGCTTCACAAAGGGGTTAAATGCTGGTGCACATCAACAAGACACAAAACTTACATGAGAAATATTCCAGCCACTAAGCAAGTCGGTGATATAGTGAAACAGGCCCACAAGCCCAAGAACATTGCAGCTGTGAATGGAAAGATGTTGAGTTTTCGTAAGGTTCCTGTTCGAGTGTTGGGCACTATTTAGTCAATTTGACAAACAACAAGATAATATAACCAAAAGGAAAGAAAACTTCTAATAAAATTAATCATTGATAATAAATCAGCTCCGTTCAATTATCAAACATAACAAGACATGTTTTAATAGAAATATGCAGAACAAAATTATCTTATCACAACACTTGGTGGTCAGTGAGTGGCAAATAGATCTATTGACTACTTCTAGTTCAAGATCTGCCTTGATTTTAAAAAACTTTTAAAAATTGACAAGTGTAATAAGTTGTTGTGTGCAGATTTCAATGAGAGTAAAAAGCCTATGAAATTTTAGCTACACCCCACTACAGTATTTTTAAAATAAACAACAGTTGAACGAACAAAAAGATAAAGTAACGGGAGAGATACTGGTCATTGGGTAGAGCTATTTTCTAGAAGCAAATCCGCACATACTTGCAAGGCCCAAGTTCAAGATACAAGCCTCAGTCACTATGTCAAATCAGCAAGCCACTTACACCCACAACATTGTTTGCATCGCGAAGCCATTTTTACATGAGAAAGAAAGAAATCCCCCTCATACTCAGGTATACAAATCACTTGCTCGCTCATAGTGCCTAAAATCCTTGCTCGTAGCCTGTCCCATCCCCTCGTCCCCCCTTGCAGCCCATAATGATAAGCCAGTTATGGTCCCATATCCCCATTTGCAGCCTGAATAGGTACTTGCGTCATTAACACTGCTTGCCTTTAGTGAGTAAATTCTGAATTCATCCAGCTTGCAGAGTGAACTAAGAACCATGGGGTAGAAGCAGCTGTGATGATTTTGGTTGCAAGATGAAGAGACCTGAATCTAGATGACGCTATTCTTATTTCCCATCCTTAATTAGCAGAATGAGTGAATGTAATGCTGGAAAACATTACTCTGCCGTAAGCTGACAAAAAAAGCTTTTTTTATTCACAGCTGTTTCAAGTTACAGATGTTTTTCGTCAGCATAACCATTCACAAAATATGTTCTACCGAAAATTTAATTCTAATTGATAATTCAAAAACTAGTCACAGTTTCACTTTGATTTTTTCGCACAACTAGGAACTGATCAGAGATCAGGCTTTTGATTTTGCACCAACATAAACAGAACAGCGGAAGCAACGGGTGAAAGAGAAAAACAAAAGTATTCATTGCCGTCAGTGTCCGGTGACACACAAGAATCTTACGTTGAATGTGACATACTGGACTGTTTTGAGTGTTTTTAGGCTACCCTATTGAATATTTTAGTGAAATTGCGGTGTTTACATTGGATTCCTGGAACAAGAGTGTGATGTATGAACAAACTTCGAGAGATGGGTCATTTCTGTGGTTATAGATTTAGCTTTCGTGCTTAGTGATGACGTTTGGGGTGTCGTCATGCAGCCGTACAAGACTGACTGACATACTAGAAATTACATTGTCCTAAAAGCAAACATTTTTTTAATCATGTGTGCTCTCTTTACTCAAACAAATAAACAAACATATCCTTGTTTATCTGTCTAACTCAAAAATACACATTTGTTCTATGTTGGTATGATACGCCTTTTTCCAATACATTGTGTCATTGTGTCATCATTGTTATGTACAAGTAATATTTGTCATAATTGCTAATATCAATAAGTTTTCAACATATATTTCATACATGCAAGATTAATTTAAAAGCAAAATACGCCTTTATTGATCTGTGGATCTCATAGTGCCAGTTTGTTCTTTGTAGGCATGATTTTACCTTTTCCCAGTATGTTTTGTCATCACTGTTATGTACGAGTACTGTTTGTCATAATTAGCAACATAATTGTGATCGTCCACTGTCTTTGATATGACCTGATATCTGTTTCAAAGCAAAAGAAACCTCTCCTGGTTTCTTTTTTTATTCTTAGAGTGCGCATTTCTCTCTGGAGGCATGACTTTGTCTTTTCCTGTACATTGTGTCATCATTGTTATATACCATGCACAAGTCACTGTTATACGTACAAGTCAGCTCCATTGATTTTGTGCTTTTGCCTCATATTAGTTTAAAAATTGTTTTACAATGTGTTTTTCTGGTACTGAGGCTTTGATAACTGTATTTGTACAGCCTTTCACTATTGTGATGTCCAATGTTCAATGTGTGTCCTTTCTATAACAATGATGACATGTTCTGAGCACTGCGTCATTGTTACAAAGCTTGTCATTTATATTACCATTATGAATGGAGTTCATAGTGTACAAAGTCTTTGTTTACTAAACAAATGGAATTTAAAGTCCATAATTTGCCTTGCTGATCTGTTTTTGTCATCACTGTTACATACAAGAAATACAGTGGTTGCCAAACCAATAGACCCATATCTCCAAAATGGTACCTCTCCTTGCTCTGATACTCTAGGAATATGAGCTCTGAATGTCAATCTGTGACTGACAAAAAAGGGAGTAAAATTGGTAAGAAAATTTTTTTTGCACCACTGAGTCTCAAAGAGAGTCTCAAGTTTTGGCAATTGCTCACCTAGTCTGAGTATCTACCTACACGCTAGCCAGAATGAAAATAAATAAATATTTGTCCTATGCTGCTACTTGCTGAAAAAAAAAAGCCATACAAGCATCTTGTCGGGCTCGCCATTGTGAACGGTTAGTGAACCTGTGCATGTGCATCACATTACAGTGGGTACCGGTTAGGGTCACCAAAATTCATTCAAATAGACCTGCATGTGAGCCTAAACCAGATTGTCTTAAAATTTTGCGCAACCCCCCCCCCCCCCCCCCAAGCCTTTGTGGGTGTCATAAGGAAGGACATCCGAGTAACGAGCGACCACCCCAACAAACACAATAAAAAAGAGACCTAACCCTAACCCTACCCCCAAAAAGAACCTGCAACGGGCCTCATGTAAAAAGGCCAAAACAAGTCCTAAATGATTAAAAAAAATTTTTATAAAAAAACCACACTCCAAAACAAACAAGGAGCATATATATAGATCTAGATCTAGATCTAGTATCTAGATCTATATGGCTTACATCTACATTGCTATAGGGTTTGATACAATAACACAATAGAATTGGAATATGAATCCTCCATATATAGATCTAGAATCTAGTAATCTAAATAAATCTAGATCTAGATCCAGATCTTGTAGAACAAGTGAATAGGAATAGGTGTTTAACTAGAAATCCGCATCCGATTCCGAACAGAGGGACTCAGCTGAGTCTAGATTCTAGATCTAGATCTAAATTAATAAATAATTCACGCACCTGATGTAATGCTTATTTTTACCAATATTAATATTACAGCACAACCTATGATAGGGTTTGACACAATAGAATTGGAATATGAATCCTCCATTGAGGTCTATAATGATCTATATAAATCTAGATCTAGATTTAGATTCTATTAGAACAAGAGAGTCGGACTTGAATGAATCCACACGATCTGAACAATTGAATTAGTCAACAAACGAAATTCAAAATGGCCGCTCGAGCACGAAACCGAAAGTAGATAATTTACGTTGTCGTCCTTTTTCATATTCGCATTTCTACTTTGGTTCCGACAATTATGTCGGAAACGCCGACGTCAGCAGTCGGCGGTGCGCGCGTCGGCGGTCGGCACGAAAACGAAAGTGCCGACCGATGAAGCCGACGGGAGAAAAAAGGGGTCGCTGGCAGTCGGCCAGGCCTCGCACTACGCACATTGACTGATACAGGCGGGCCTAGCGATAGCATCGGTGGTTCGCGGGTCGGGTCGCGATTGTCAGATTTCAGACGATTGTCGGCAAACATGCAGGTCTAATTCAAAGTCTGTGCGCTGCGAAGTATAGGGCTCCGGAATGGGGGGATTATTGATTTTTTTGTGAGGACTTCCGTAACTAGCGACCACTATGAGGCAGAGCAGAATTGAGGGCTTGGGGTAGGGGTTGGGGTAGGGGTAGGGGTAGGGGTAGGGGTAAGGGTAGGGGTAGGGTTAGGGTTAGGGTTAGGGTTAGGGTTAGGGTTAGGGGTGGGGTTAGGTCTAGGCCTCTTCTTTATTGTGTTTGATTGGGTGGTCGCTCGTTACGCAAGTCCTTCCGATTTTTTTAAAAGGTACAGTCGGGGGAGGGGAGGGGATGAAGGCAACACCGGATGACAAAACTGAACTTGGAGTTAGTTCTGAACTGCCCGGTTACCATGTACGTAACACTGAGACTATGTGCCCGGTTGCTGTGCGTAGATATTGAGGCTACATGCCCGGTTATCGTGTACATGACACTGAGACTACGTGCCCGGTTGCCAGTTACCGAGTAGGCCTACGTAGACACTGAGGCTAGGTGCCCGGTTACCGTGTACGAAGACACTCCGCTTCCAAAATTATAAGACAACTTTAACTTTTGAAAGTGGCTATTCTCACCCGCCCGGAAGTTCTCGCAAGATCAACTCCTCCCCTCTTCTCTCTCTCTCTGTCTCTTTCTGAATACTGTCTATCGGTGTGGACGATCAAATTGACCAAAACAAAGTTAAAAAATGATGTTAAAACACAAAAGCAAATTAATTTGGTTGTCTACAAAGATGCTACGGCTATTTAACTTTTCGAATCGAGCCGAACTACGCGGGTCGCCATTTTGTTTTGCCCGGAAATTCTCGCGCTACTCCTCTCTCTCTTTCTCTCTCTCTCTCCACTGCCCACAGACAAAATTGTACGCTTTTAGTAGGCTACAGTTGTAATGGAACGTTTGTTCACGGCACAGAATTCTACAATTTTTCTGTTATCAGTGTAGAATTCTGTGGTTTAGGGTGAGCGCAAAATTTGGTGAACGCGCACCGGGTGAGAATAGCCACAAGACTCGCCTGCACTATTCGGTGCTTTTTCGGTAGTTCCCACCCCCCTTATTTGAGCCTGACCTACATCTAGATCTAGATCTATACGTTTGATTCGCGCTGAGCTAAGATATCAAATCTAACAACTGCAAAACATTAAATTATGGTAAAATTCAGGGGGGCATGCCCCCCTGAAACCCCCCTTCCTATTTTTATTAGGTCAGGGGGGCAAGAAACCCCCTACTCTTGTGGCCCAAACCCGTGAATAAAATTGCGGGGTGGGAACTAGAATCTACCGAAAAAGCGCCCACTATTGTCTATTCTCACTCCGGGTGAGAATAGAGGTGGCCTTAACTTTTATAACTTTCAACAAGGCCAGTAAAAAATAACGGATCCTAACAATATTTATATCAGTATAAAAAACATTAGCTAATACACACTAGATTTCCTAAACTCACCTATTCCTGAAACAACGCAAATAACTTTTGCGAGAAGTTTACACCACCAAGTGACTCCATCATCATTTTTTGTATCACCACCAGGGCGGCCTTCTTGCTGGCCTCCCACCGCAGGAGGCACCTGATTGCTAGGAGCCTGCCCCATCTGAAATCGAGAGCTTCACTTTCTGAGTTAAATCTGTTTCCTGATTCAATGAAAACAGCATTCAATAAATCATTTTCTGTCATCCAAATCTGATCATGAATGTCAATAGTGATGAAGCAACAGACGTGGCTATGTTTAAGGTGTTTATGACACATAGCGGTTGCCAGGATCATTACAAGTAATAGGCCTACAAGAGTGGTTATTCCACATCAAGTTGTTATAACAATAATCTAAAGAACAAGGGAGATTGTGTTATATTATGCTTCAATCTTCAAAACTTTGAATATCGTTGTATTAGCTCCATAAATGTTGATAGCTCAATGAAAATAATAATGAATTTTTTTTTCTATGTAACTTATAGCCAGCTGTTACTTATATTTGGACTGTACAATAAGGCACTTCAGTTTCGTCACCTGACGAAATCATGTATTTAGCAGTCATTAACAGTCAAAAAATAATTTTTGTCCATCTCGAGTTCCTTTCGCATTAATTTATAACTGTGTGGGAACAAGGACGAAGTTCTACTGTTCTACCTGGTGAACGGTGAACTCGAGTGTAGACTCTACAGCATCTCCCACTCTCAACAATGCCTTCTTCCACTTTTGCCGGACGAAATATCAAGTACGTTGTTTTGGATATAACAGGGGTTCTAAAAGAAAGTGGTCCAGGAGGTGGGCATGCTATATCGGGCTCAATAGATGCCATCAAACGGTTGTACAAGAATGGGTTTCAAGTCCGCTTTTGCACAAACGAAACAGTTATGACTCGTCATACGTTGGTACAGCAACTGAAGAACATGGGATTCGTCATAGATGAAATCAAAGTTTTCCCACCTATTCCAGCCGTTTGTAAAGTGCTTAGTGACAGGAAACTGAGACCTCATTTGCTTGTTCACCCGGATTCTCTTCAAGACTTTGAAGGAGTGGACTGCTCAAATCCCAACTGTGTTGTCTTGGGCGATGCCACTGAGCAGTTTTCCTATGAAAATCTCAACAAAGCCTTCCAGTGTTTGATGCAACTAGAAAAGCCAATTTTGTTCTCATTGGGAAAAGGCAAGTACTACCAGGAAAAAGGAAACCTTGTTTTAGATGTCGGATCGTATACGGCTGCTTTGGAGTATGCCACTGGTGTTACGGCTGAGATTGTTGGGAAGCCTTCCCCAACCTTTTTTGGTGCTGTGTTGCAAGATATGGGGGCTACAGCTTCAGAAACTGTAATGGTTGGGGATGACATTGTCAGTGATGTGGGGGGTGCTCAAGCATGTGGAATGGCGGGAGTTTTGGTCCGTACAGGCAAGTTTCGACCAAGAGATGAAAATCATCCAAATGTAAAACCTGATGCGATCGTGGATAATCTTGCCCAGTTTGTAGACAATTTATTAGCAAACATGGCCTAAATTTAATTAATTTTAACTCTTTCCTTCCAGCTGTTATTGTGACCTCTTTTTCTCTAATTGTGTGCAGTCAGCCATCCATTTTGGTCAATATTTATCAATGCCAATTTGCTTGGGTTTTTTTTTAAGCAATGATGAGAATCTGAAAATCTTTATCTAATAGTTTTTTTGTGTAGAAATTGGGAATGCCTTCTATCCAAAGGTAAAGAGTTTTTTAAAGCTTTTAAAAGAAGCTAATACAGTCAGGCACAGAGATAACATCATGTACTAGGAGAAAACTGGAAATCATGGGGATAGAAGAAGAGCTCTCGTACTAGATTTCTAGTTGGCATTTTCCCCAACTGATTAAAAAATTTGTGCATTTTAAATTTTAAATAAAATGTGTCAGACACATTTGTGAGGCAGCGTGGTGGAATCAGGCTCTCGTCAAGTTTTGGGCATATTGAGTGGTATTATCTTAAAGCGGGTTCATTTGTCTTGCTTTTAATAAAACAATTGCCCATCCATCTTCAATAGAAGTGGAGATATTTTGGATTGAAGGGGGTGGGGGTAACCTGGTTTAAGAGGTAAAATTAGCGAGAAAATGGCCGCCAAAGCTTTGGTAAAATCCAAAGCTGGAGAGTCCATAGAAACTGTAAATTTATATTTTTGTGCCTTTAATCAACGTTTTCTGTGAAATCCCCAAAGGAATGTGTTTGTAAATAGACATAAAAAGTGTTCAGTCAAAAAACAAAAATTTGTTTAAAATTGCTAAGCAAGGAGAAAACTGTTGCTTTCTTCACTTTGATTATTTTGACGAGAGCCTGATTCCACCACGCTGCCTCACATTTGTTAATCCCTGTCAGCTTTGAATTATCCATGCTTGTATCTTACACTTTTCTTTGAAAACCGTTTCCAAAATCGTGCCTAGATTTGATGTGAATGCACTTGAATATAATGAATGAACAATTTGCAAGAGAAACCTTTTTTTTTAAAAAGTGAACTGGGACAGAATAGACTTTGCCTCAATATATTTTTAGAATCTACTGATTTCTTTACACATAAGGTGTACATTCTAATTTCAGCCCTGTAAAAGATTGTGCTATGGGAATATCCATCGTGAAGAGAATTGTTACAAATTTTTATTTTGCTTCTCTTTTAAGGAGTTCCGCAGAGGGCCGGCGGCGCACTTACCGTGACAAGGTCCCCTAGACTGTGTAACTCCTTCCTTATTATGTGAAAGTGCAGAGATAGATCTGGTTGCATGACAGGATTATAAATGTTATGTCATCACATCTAAAGCTGTCTCAGTCTCATGGCGATTACAGTTTTGCACCTCTAAGTGTTAAAAATCTAAAAACTCTGTGCTGTGTGTTGACTTCTTAAAATAAAATAATAATTATAGGAAGTTTGGAAGCGAATGTCATTTTTCCATGTTGCTTTGATCTGATTCTGTTGTTATGATTGATGATATTCTGTATCGGCAGGTTTTCGGGTTTCATTTTTGTGGCATTCGTTTTTTATGCTCTATGCTCATTCATTGTGTGCTTTATAAATGACAGAGACAGAATGTCTTAAAAGTTCAGAGGGCAACATCTACTGACAAGTTGAAATTTTGTGTGATAGCCTGTTATGGAGGAAAAACTAGTACACATGGTACACATGTACAATAGAAGACTTTTTTTTACCTTGTTTTCTTTATATGCCTACTACATCATGAATCTCAATCTGTTGGTAGCTGTACTGTTAGTATTTTTTTTTTTATTCAAGAAAGTACCAGTGTTAAATTTGAATTTGTTTTCCCTTTTTCGACATAGTTTTTTGTAACTAGTTAATGTTGGGGTACAGTAGCTTTTTCATAGGAGACAAAATTAGGCTTAGAATTTTAGGTATGTTTGAGTTTATGTGTTACTCATTTTTTCCAAGATGGTACATATATGCAAACTCATCTACTTCATTGTATATTTCTGCCGCTTTAGTTGATGGTCTACAGCAATGTTTCTGGTTTACTTGACATCTACCTCTGGACCGGTCTCACTACTCTGTTTAGTTGACCCTACAGTTTACACAAGCTTGGGGGACTTGTGACAGGTGTTGCTGACCCCCCTCCCCCCCCCCCCCACCACCACCTGATTTCTTAAAAACATTGCGGTCTGGTCACTAGCTGTCGCTACCAACCTACTACATATCACGCATTATCATTCCCACCGCAAAATCCTTTCATATAGACAACACCGTAAAATGAAGCAATCCACCCACCTAGTCACAACAATCGTGAATGCCAACGCCTTTGACTTTGATCTAAATACCCCCAACGCTGTCATTACAGTAGCCAGTCAGGTGGGACATACAGTACGCCAAACTGCTTAGATGGCGGTAGCACCGTAGTAGACCATGGTCAGTCGGGCGGGACTTAAAGTAGACCATCGTATTGCAATAGACCATTAAGTAGACTGGCACCGTTTCTACTTATATTTGCTTTTCTACTATTCAGACAAAGTTTGTATTTGTTATTGTAGATCTATGTATACAGATATTTTAAAATCCCAACTTTGCCCATCCTTCCAAGTTTTTACAAATATGTTTTTAACTCTGCTCAACAAACAGAAATTTTTATTCCATATATTAATATATGATAGCAGTTGTACTTATATAGACCTAATTATCTATGATGACATACATGTTGTCGGCAAGCTGTTCAAAATTTTTTAATCCCACAAAACAACATTTTTCAGGAGAGATAGAAAACTGTTAATTTTTTCAATTCTTTTACAATATTGTAGCCTACTTATATATATTATGTGTCTTTTCTTGATTTAAAAAAAAATTATATATTTAGAGTTTGAATTTCAACAAACTATTTCTCATTGATATGTTGTATATTATGCAAGCAACTGTTGATACCTCAGGGCTTGATAGGCCTACATCTGAACAGCTGGCCGACAGTCTACAGTGGAATCCTGTTATAATGAGAGGGAGGGGACCGGTGCGAAATGTCCGTTATACCAGGATTCTCGTTATAAGGAATCCAGTAATAAATTCAATGGAAATAATGAAGTAGGCCTAATCTATCAGTTTGGTGTTCTGTTTATTTCTTTTTGTTATCTCCTCTGATGATGGCTTTGTTCAACATGACCTCTAGGTCTTACTTGATCAAAAATAAAATCAGGTTTCTTTCCCAAGCGCTAGCGATGTTGACAGCACGGCGTTGGCGATCAGAAAAAATGCGCTCAGGGCTAACTCGCCCGCTGTGTTGTCCCCCACCCCACCACACCCCGTGGTGTGTTCCGTCTGCTTGCGCACATTACTACACATTCACTCCATCCATCACAGCATGTCACCTCTCCATCCCCGCAACGGAGAAGTGAGGGCATGGGTAGTGGTAAGCCTAGATAATCTAGACTAGGCTGGCCTATCACACAATGCGTTCTGCCTGTATGCATGCGCTTACCACACCCTCCCTACTCATTCGCTCCGGCCTTCATTGTTGGCAAACGTGGGCTCTCCTATTCTTTGTTTTGCTCAAGGAGTTGATGTAAGGTCCTAGGTTTCGCTAGATCACCAACAAGTTTCTCAACTGGCAAAGTTTATATGTATAACTAGCCTGTGCACAGTGCACAGCAGCAGCAATATTCCGCTATAACCGACTCCCCTTGTTGTCCAATTGCGCTATAGCAGTATTTTATTTACAAAGAAAAAGAATGGAAAAAAATGGGGTTTTAGAACAGTGTCTTTATAACAGACTTCTCGTTGTTTCAGGACTCGTTATAAGTGGACTCCACTGTATATATATATATATATATAATAAGTATATCAATATTATGTATACTTCTCAGAGCAACTGATTATAGAGTTAGAACCTTTAAATGAAGATAATATTTTGTGTAGATAGCATGGGTTGACCTGCCTGTCTACCTTGAAGTCAGCCTATCTTTTTACTTTTAGTATTATTTCCCAAACTCTCATGTGAGGTTCTGGTGCTTAATTGTTACATTGTATGACAAAATTGTTTAAATCTCTTTGCTCAATAATGTGCTTAAAAAGCCTCCTTCAGAGATATCCATGCAGTTCTGTCATCCAGGAGACTCCCCACTCATATGTGTGTACCTTCATATATATTTCAGTCAGTCTCAACTTCTTCAAATCTCCATGTGTCTTCGTCTATCTCTTTTGTCATTTTGAGTCCAGTGGCTCTTGTAAGGGACATTCTTTCGCTCAACATTTGGTTCTGCCATGAGGTTAGCTGCAGCCTACCTCAGTGCCCACTGCTGTTGAAATCACTCTTGACCTTCACATTATGCGGAGTTTGTGGGACTTAACCAAATTTGGACCAAATGTAGCACACCACTACACTGTTGCTCTAAGTTTTCTTTACAAATAAATTGAGATGAGAAAAAATGATGATTATTTATCATGTAGAAGTATCACTCTTAAAAATCTTTGACCCCCCCTCTTAAAAAAAAAAAAGAAGAATAGATAAACTACAACAGAAACTACTAGATTCTACATCTCTACAAGTATGCCAATGCGATTCAGAAAAGTAAATTACTTCCTTGCCACATTTTGTAAGTGGCATCTGAGATGTAGCAGTTAGGCACTTCACAGTTGCATGCAGGAAACCCAAGTTCGATTTCTGAGTGTGGAGGATTTTTTTAATCGAGTAACTATAATACTAGGAGACTTTCAAGTAAAACTGTTGGTAGTTTAGTAAGTTTTAACTCTTGATTGTGATAGTAACAAATAAAGTTAGAATGATAAATACTAGTTGTGTTAAGTATTCAAATTAATATTGATTTCACCTCATTCTTCATGCCTGTATCACACTTTGAAGTGCTATTGAAATTATCTAAGATGGCCACGCATTGTTGAGGAGAAAAGTGATTGTCTTGGACGGGTGGACATTTAGAGCAGGTTCAACTACTGTTTATGTGCATATAACTATTATAGTGTGCTACTTGACTTTTGACTTTAACTGTATACTCATTACTAATATAAGCATTTGATTTTTTTGTGCCTAAATATATAACAATGGAATTGATGCTTCAATAGATTAAAATGTCTTGTATAAACAGAAACTTGTACATCTCCTCTGTTCTTATATTGTGTGTTGAACTGTCCAATGTTTTGTTGCCTGAACTTGATTCCTCTATGGGAAATATGGACAATTTTAAAAAGGTGAAATAGTTTTGGTTACAAAATCATATAATAGCATATGTTGCAGGAAAAATTCTTTTCGCTCTTTGACCTTTGAGTCTGTATTAGTATTAAAATTAATTACTTAATTAGCTAATATTTTAGAACTACATATCATGGTATTCATTTTTTTTTTTTGCAACAATAACAATAAGTTTCATTAAATTTATTTATGTCCTTTTTCAACACTATTTTGGATAACTGAGACACCATACTTGTGATTATTATATATGATCCTACAAAAACCCACTACTT